TGGAAAATAGGGGAGGAAAAAAGGAAGGATCAGCTCCTTTCTGGCATCTTTTCCACAAGACCACCCATGACCTCTAATTATATCTCACTGGAAGAACTTAAGTGGACATACTTTGTTTTGAGAAAGACCTTATAATTGTAGAAAGACCTTATAATTTTGTCTTAGAGCATTGTTGCCTCTAAAAATAAGTCAGGATTATTTGACATAGGGGGATAAAAGATATATATTGAGTAGGCAGTTAGTAAGCTCATAGAAATTTGAACATCTCAACATGCTGAATTACTGTTTCTAATAATACTTTCAGATGTATGTACATAATACCTACTGCACTATATCTTTATTTTCTCTTTCTGCTTCAATAACTACATTTTTACTATGTATGGATTCTCTATAAGATATTAAGAATCTGTATTGTTCAGAGCACTTAGTCTTGAATTTGACTTTTCTTTTTTGTCATTAAAAAGTAATGACTTCCTAGGTTATTACGAATATCACCTTTTCTGCAGAGATAAGATTATTTAATAATGCCATTGCTCATTGGCCTTCTGTGTTCCCATCTTTGTGCACACTTGGTTTATTTTGTACTGCATTATAATTTGAGAATTTAAAGGAACATAAAACTCAAATATGAGTTTCTTGACAAGCAGACACATCCTTATTCAGTGAATATTTAATAGTGGTTACTGAACATGTAAAATGATGAGATATACATAGTCTATAGTGGAGTTTTACAAGTTATTCCAAAAGGAGAGATAACATTTCTTTCACAGAAGAATTTATAAAATCACTGTATGGTCACACCCTAAAGGAAATTGTGTCTATTCTTTACAAGTCAAAATTAGATGAAGTCCTTATAAGATGCTTTAAAGAATTTACAAATTAATATTTTGAAGTAGTATGTCAAGGTTTAATTACTGATGATTATAGTAAAAGCAGTTTTATTATTCTCCACACTTACACGTATTAATCTTTTTGTTTGTTTTTGTTTGTTTGGGGATTACACCCAACTGTGCTCAGGACTTACTTCTGGCTCTATGCTCAAGGATCACTCCTGGGGGGACTCATGGGACCATATGGAGTGCCAGGGATTGAACCTAGGTCAGCCACATATAAGGCAAACTCACACACACTGTACTATTTCTCCAATCCCCTTACACCTATTACTCTTTCTCAGATATTTCTCAGTTGCTTCATGTTTGTTCATTTTACTTTTCTAAGTATAAAAGCTGTTTCTTTAACCTCTCTTCCCCCATAATTACTAACCTTAAATAAATTGAGTAAAGAAGTAAAACACAGAATCATGAGATTTATAAATAGTTTTTCAGACATTAAGTTTCAAACATACAACTGTTTATAGAAAGCTTAAGCTTAAATGGGAGCATGAGATGATGTTATATGCCATGTTATAGAGTGAACTAACATGAAAGTGCTCAGAGAAATATACAGTAGAATAAGAAATTTGGCGATGCCTTGAAAGCAGGGGTAAAAAAGATAAGAATAGAAAACATGTATTTGAGTAGTTTAAAGGTGTTCAGGAAGTTCAAGAAAACTGAGTCCTTTGGAATTTGCCTTGTGGACATTCAGGAGTATTAACAAAGTGCCAAGGTACCAATCTATGTTTATTAAAGGGTAAATAAAATGATAATATTTAAATAACAGGTTTTTCATTTGAGAAGTTTCACTGTTACCTGAAAAAAGAGATTGAAGTTAATGGGTTGGTAAAAACTTACTTTAAGTTGGAGGGGTGTTTATGAAGGGATTATGACAACATAGCAGACCAAATTCCAAGAATTTCTTAAAACTGTGCAGAGCATGCACGATGGGATAGCCATCTGGGGGTCTATGTTGATAAACTGTTAAAAACGTTTCTAGTGCGAATAGCCACAAACATTTTCAGTGCTTTTTTTGTTGGTTGAGTAAACCGAAGAGCATGAATGCAGAAGCAAAATTTGACGCCAAATCACAGAAGTTGCCATAAACACAGAAGTTCCCTAGTGAGGACACTGCCTGTGCCTGAATTTTGTTTGTTTCTGCCTCTACCATTTCCTAATTTTTCCTGGTAACTAGCCAGATTAGAACTATGAATGAAGACAACCTGGTCTTGTCCAGGTGGTACATGTGACATAGGTAACATAGATGGAGAAAATATTTATGGGTTTGATATGATGATCTGGTCTGAACTGGCCTAAGAATATAAAAGATGTACTTACTCTTTTGTCATGGGGGTTTGCAACCTTAGTATATGCCTAAATCTACAGCTGCTCCTCATTTTCCAGATGGCTTCTATGGCTGGGAGTACTTTTTACCATCTGCACTTCTCAAAGAGTTTGTGAACTCTCTTTTAATTATTGGAAATGAAAAAAAAACTAATTGGTAAAGTGGTTAAATGATGTAAAAGATTTTTAAATTTTTGAATTAAAGCTTATTATATTCCATTTAAGCTTTCAAATAAGATCAGTGCTTGTTGACCTTGACTTGCTTCTTTGCTTTCCTGGCATCATTCATATTTGCATATATATTCATATTTCAATACTTAATAACTTTTATACTTAGATTTGTATCTTGAGCCAAGTTTCACGAAACTCTTATTTCCTTCTAATACTATGAGCTCCCATTGTTGGCATGTGCTGAAATCAGCTAACACTGAATGAATATAGGTACATGCTTATTTAAATTCTTCCACTAATCAAATAAACTTTAAGTCGATAGTGTTTGGTGTTGTAATTTGTAAATTTAACTTACAAAAACAAATTTTTTCAGTGTTTTTATGTATGTAAAACATTGAGATTGTGAGAAGCAATTTCACTTCTAGTAAATACTTTTTTAACCAACTGAAAATAAGAGGAGTGGCATCTGATTCTGAAAATCAACATATTCTGTGTCTAGGGAATTCTAGATTTGTAGTTCTATTACCTTATTTTTCCTCCTTTCAGTTTTTGAATCAAATTTATTTTGTAATGATGTGAAATAGATAAGTATCCTCTAATAAATCAGTCAATAAAATGCCATCTTTTCTCTTTAAGCAGGTTCTACTGGGAAAATTCTCTAGATAGTTTGTCCATTTATAAAATTAGACACTTGCCATCTTTGCTCATTTTCAAGTTCTCTGTTTACAAAACTATTAAGAAGGTGTGAAATGCAGCCAAACTTCCTAGTTTATGGGAAATGTCTGATGATTGCATTTCCTACGTGTTCATTGTTCACACATGAAGAAATTTGGCAGCTGTGAGATTATTAAGTTTAGAGTATCCAAATCTAACCCTCAGTGGGATTTTGGTTTTCTGATTTCTGTCTCAGCCATCTCACTCATTTTGTAACCGTCTTTGTGGTAAGTGATGTGGTGGTGTGGTATTTCTTAATCTTGGTGATGATCCTTATATTCTCTTCGTTGTCCATTTATCAGATGTTATGATTTTTACCTGATGCAGAATTCTCACTTCAGGCACTAATAAATCCAAACTGTAGGGTATGGTAGACTCCTCCACACCCACCCCACTCCCAGACATGGACAAATCTAAAGTGTGGATAAGGCACCTTTTACACAGCTGCCCTGAGTTTGATCCCCTGTACCACATATGGTTCCCTGAGCTATCAGGAGTGATCCCTGAACTTAAAACCGAGAGCACTGCAAAGAAGGCTGTTTTTTAATTTTTCAATAAATCCTCTGATTTCCTCCTCTCTCTTCCCATATTTGAGCCACACCTGGGTGATTCTTGTTACTCCTGGCTCTTTGCTCAGGGATCACTCCAGACAGAGCTTAAGGGACCATTTGGGATGTCAGGACTCAAACATGGCTCATCACTCTGGCCCCAAATTCTCTGATTCTTATGATGGTGTAATTATCAGGAGAGGCGAATATTGGTAAACTAATCTTTTGTACATATTTCAGAATTAACTGCTAGAAAAATTTATAATTGTGCGTGTAAGAATTTGTAGCTAAGTCAGTAAGATACTGGTTTTTGTATAATGTTTTAGGTTACTTTTGATTTTGCTTTTAACTCAAGTAATTTTTTATGTTGAAAATTCTAAATTATTCTCCATGATTACGAAAGCATTATTGTGAAAATTATTGTGAAATAATTTTTTCTGAGTACATGCGTTACTTTTAGAAATTTAAATTACCTGGTTACATTTTATTGTATTTTATTTTGTGTTTTTATTTTACATCCAGTTGGATGCTCAGGGGTCCATATAGAGTGCAGTGGTTTTAATCAGGATTGACTACATGCAAAGCAAGGGCTTTAATCTTTGTACTCTGTCTCTCTGGCCCCATATGATGTTATTAGGGGAGAAAGTTATATGATTTATCAATAAGTAGTAAAGATTGGGGCCAGCAAGATAGCTCATTGTGCTTGCGCATCTGCTTTGCATATGGGAGGCCTAGATTCAATTCCCCTCCACCACATGGTCCACCAAAGCACCACCAGGAACAACCCTCATCATTGAGCCCAGATAGCTTCTGAATGCTGCCGTATGTTGCCTGAAAACCAAAACCAAAAAGAATACTTGAAAGCCAGTAACTATTTGATCTTAACTGCTACCAGTTCTTAAGTAAATACTGAGTAATCAGAAGTTGGTTTCACAGGAAAAAAGACTAAGAAGTTGGAGAACTGTATTGAAAATAGGACAAGACCTTGGAAAAAAGACCAAACAGAAGTGGCCACTTCTGTTCTCTAGTTTAGCTGTCCCTCAGAGAATTCAGAAACATTTTCTGAATAATTGACACTACATCTGAATCAGTTTGATTTCTTTTCAGTAACTTTTACATATTTCATAAGTCTGTTTTCAGAATGATAGTGACAATAATCATTTGTACCCTCTTTTTTCATTGTTATTACCCTTGAGGTCATTTGAAGATGAGAAGAGTTGCTTTTTGTTCAAAAAATTCTTCATGGAATGAAGTGTTCTATGAATGAATATTATGATCACTATTTGTTGATTTTTCTGCAGTGAGGAAAGTAAATGTAGATTTGAAACTGTCCTTTGTGTTTCATTTACAGGCTGTAGAAGAAGAAGATAAGATGACACCTGAACAGCTGGCAATAAAGAATGTTGGCAAGCAGGTGAGGCATACGTACAGTACTAGATTATACCATTGCATAATAACTTGCTCTTGGATAGTTAAAACTTGATCTGGGCTTATGAATTTTTCTTCTGTTCACTCGATATTTTTCATCTGCCATGTAAATATGATGCTAATGTTAAAGGTCACTGAATTATTTGTGCTGAAGGATCATCCCTCAGCAAACCGTATGTAGTGCCAGGGATTGAAACCGGAGCGCAAGGCAGATTCCTTAACCCCCTGTATTATCTCTGTAGCCTGGGCCACTGGGTTATTTGATGTCAAATTCTCTTTGCCATCTATACAGAAGTAAATCAGTGAAAACTCTCTCATAAAAGTATTTCACTAGAAATAAATTATGAAACTGGTATCCTGAGATGTTTTCCAGTAATTTTACTTGCAGTAATATCAATAAAGTTAATAGAGTGGTAGACGTATTTCATGTATAAAGGCTAATTTTAAAAGTTCATAGTTTATGAATATATAAGCTAAAGCATATAACTAATATTCTGAGAAAGCTAAAGCTCAGAACTCTTGGGTTTTATTGAATGAAGAGCAAAGGGTTTTAAATACTTGCTCTTCACTTCTCTGAGATAAAATATATATTTTAGTTCCTATTTTCTGAAGATGGGGGAACACACTATCCAATTAAAAGAATCTACAGATTAATTAGACTGTTTTTAAAGAATGTTGATTACATTTTTTTTTCATTTCATGGAACATGGTTATCATATTGCTGATGTTGGCAGAATCTTGATATTTCAGATGCAAGACACTAAGCTGTCTTTGCTTTCAGCCATCCTACCATATGCTCTGATCCCATCACATCTCACAAGCTATGTAGGTTTGGGCCAGGACCATTCTTGGATGGGAAATCTCTAAGAATCACCCAGCTGCCACAAGAAGTAATATAGATAGATAACTGAGGGAAGTATATTACCAGTTCACTACAAATCAATTACTCCAACAGAGTAGTAAGGGCAAAGTTCTGACTTAGTTATCATAATTGATAAAATCATACATTTCTTATATTCTGAATGTTATTTAAAATCAACAAGAACTCTCTAAAACCAAAATTGACTGTCTTATTCTCTCATTCTGTGTGATAAACTTGCCCTTGTTGTCTTCTCATTACTTATTTTAGGCTAATACATACTAGATCGCCAATTTTCTCTTGTTTATAGAATTCACTAACATTTTAATAAAACATTTTCTGAGACCATAGTTTCCTGATATAAATTTTATTTAACAGCAAATAAAAGGTATGACTGTAAATAAAACTTAATACATAATTGGCAATATTAAACATCCATCAGAATCATTTTTTAAAATAAAGCATTTTACTGGTTTGGCCTACTACTTGGTAAAAAACAAAACTGTCTATAATGGAGGCAAACCAATATCTTTTTATCCTGCCAATCTTCTTAGTCTCTGTCACCTAAAGTGCCTTAAAGCTTATTTTTTAAATAAAGAGAATTTAAAAATATGGTCTGATTACTTGAAATTTTTGTAGCATGTTGTGTCTCTGGGTTGTTTAAAGAAATCAAGTATGTTGAAATTGTAGTTTAGAAAAAACAACTTCCAGAACACCAAGAAATAAATTCAAGTGATGAAGATTTGTTTCAAGTTAAGAATCTGGGATATTTTCTAATACTGATTTAATATTTGGATTTGGACATTTTCTTATACTGTATTTTAAAAAGACATTAATTGAAAGTATTTCAAATCCTTTGATTTGGCTGGAATACTTGATTTACCTCAGCTTTATTTACAAATTAAGTATTTTCGTTTAATTTCTTTTGCTACAGTGAAAGTTTAAGAATTCTACCTATATATTTGATATTTTTTTCAAAATACTGTATGCAATATTCTTAATATTTTAGAATTTATCCAAACTATTTAAAATGTTCACAATGACTTGATGTGAAAATATTTCTAAAATTACTGAAACATTATTTCTAAATAATAAAATTTTACAGGAGTTAATGTTAATAGCGGAATTAATACAAATTCCATTGAAATTTTTTTTAAATATAGTTTAGGTAAGATGGTTACAACAGTGCACAGTAAATTCTTATTTATTTGCTTTAAGTTAATTGATCCCTCAGATATTCAAAATATATGAGTGGCTTATTCATACTTAGGCTTATAATTACATTATTTTTTAAATTCGATGATTATGGGCTATAAAGAATTCCTTGTTATTTATAATTTTTTGGTACAGTCATTTTGATTATGTAAATCTCAGTGCATGATTATTTTATTAACTCTTTAACTTCAGAGATTTTGAAATCTTAAGAATGGCAATAATATATTGGAAAGCTAAAGACATACATAAAAATTTATGTCTGGCTCTCTTTCATCAGCTACTGAAAAACCTAAGTAATTTGTCTACCAGTAATATGGTTCTTTATTTTCTCCTTCTTTCTTTTAGGACCCCAAACGTCATTTGGAGGAACATGTGGATGTGCTTATGACTTCAAATATTGTCCAGTGTTTAGCAGCTATGTTGGATACTGTCGTATTTAAATAAAGCAATGCAAAAAGTTATTAGTGATACTTTCAGTGTATATTCCTCTGTTGTTCCTAATGCTCAAAATCGAGGGACCTCTGAAGGTGTGTTTGGTTAAATGTAAGACATCTGGCATCATTTGCAGCCCTATAACACCTTCAGTCTCAGTTGTGCAATTACTTCTGTTTCTTTAGTCAGAGACTTTACAGATTCCAAAGTTGTATAAGAATACATCAAAGCGGGCAAGTTTTGTTAAGATCCCATTTAATATTTGAAAAAATCAGTAACATATATTTTGATTGTTGTCTACAAAATAAAATACATTTACAATCTATGTCTTCTGAGATCTTTTTGGTACTGGGTGGAACTGATAGAGTAACATTTGACAGTATTCTAAAAAATCTCACATTCTAGGTTCTGGTAGCTTAGTGCTTCCTTTTGCATTTTATGATCTTATAGTATGTAAAAAACATCAGCATAGTATCAGAACTTTCCAAATGTAAAATAATTAACCGTTATAGTTACCTCATTAGTGGAAGAATCTAGGAAAAGTCTTGACAAATTTTATTAAAGTTGTCTATTCACAAGGTAGTATTATGTGCTCAGTATCTTAATATATATATTCAGGATTTGTTTGTTGTTGTTTTTTAAGAGTTTTAATGGAGACTTTTTGGATTTTTGTTTTTTGTTTAATTTTGGGCTATACGTGATGACACTCAGGGGTTACTCCTGGCTCTACACTTAGGAATCACTCCTGGCAGTGCTCAGGAGACCATATGGGATGCTGGGGATCGAACCTGGGTGGGCCTGTGTGCAAGGCAAGCATCTTACCATCTCTTCTATCTCACTGATCCTGAATCTTTTAAGTACATTCTACTAGCAATGTTCAGATTGTTTAGGAATTGTCTGGTGCAAATTCTAGACTTTTGCTATGACAGTCATAGAAGAAACCTAATGTATTCAAAATAAAATGAAAAAAGCAGTCTCTGTGAGTTTAATATCATGAACATGCAATAGCTTAGTTACTATATTGTTCTCTTTTTCCTAAAATTATAAGAGCCCCATTTTCTGAAAAAATAAATATTTGACTCTAAGGAACTACCCCAGAGACCTGGAGTGCATCCAGGGTCTGCACTAGATCTTGAGTTCGATTTCCAGTACTGCATCCCTCCCCCTCATCCCATTACTGGTAGGCATGGTTCTGGTGGGCTCAAGCACTAGATCACTGTGTCGTGTCGGTCAGGAACACTAGAAATATGGAAAAACATTTTAAAGAAGGGTTTTAACTGTGGATTGAAAATTTAGATTTAACCTCTCAAAGTTAATTTAGTAAACCTTATTGTCTTATCTGAATGATTCTGCGTTCTAGTAACCAAGTAAGAAACTAAAAAAGTGGAAGTGGTTAATTCCCAGTATATTTCCATCTTTATTTAATTTTGTTTTTGTTTTTTATGGCATCAAGCGTTTTGAGACTTCAAGTCCCATGTTTTCTTCTTTTGAGTATAATAGTTTATTTTATATAGACTTGCATGCATTAATTGTTAGGGTTTTATTAGCTAATCATTTTTGACTAAGATAAAAAGGAAACAAGTTTTCCTATAACCTAATTTAAACCACTCTGCAGGCCAATTTTTTGGATGCATGATTCTGTTTTGACAGGTATTCTTTGTTAAATCAGTGAATTATTTTTCCATACATATTCTTAAATGAGCGCAAGAATCCTAGAGCTGTTCTCAATCTTCAGATTGAGAATAACTTGGTTTGGTTTTGGTTTTGGTTTTAAGCTACCGACTAGCACTCAGAGATTACTCCTGGTTCTGTGCTCAGGGGACCATATGTGGTGCCAGGGATTAAAGAAAGGTTGGCCTCAGACAAGGCAAGCGTTTTATATGCTGTCTTATCTCTGGCCCTGAAATTGCATTTTTCCCTCCTCGGTCTCTTGAAAATATGTACTGTGTTCAGTTACTGAGAAGGCTTAATGCAGTACCTTCCTTTTTTTTTTTTTTCTTTTTGGGTCACACCCAGCAATGCTTAGGGATTACTCCTGGTTCTGCACTCAGGAATTACTCCTGTTGGTGCTTGGGGGACCATATGGGATACTGGGAATAGAACCCAGGTTGGCCACATGCAAGGCAAACGCCCTACCCGCTGTGCTATCACTCCAGCCCCAGTACCTGCCTTTTGTTCTTGATTGTCCTACCATATTGGACTCCCACTTTTTCCCACTTGGTTTATTTAGAGCTATTGTGTTTTTTCAAAGTATCAAAATCTTTCCTAGTAAAAACTATTTTTTGGACCAGGGATGTAGCTCAGCAGTAGAGCATTTAACTTGAATGTGTGATACCCTGGGTTTGATCCCCAGGACTTGAGACTGCCAAGTAGGAGTGTGGGGCTAGCAAACCCAACTTTTCTTTAGTTTTTTGTGGGGGAAGGCAGGGGAGGTACACCTAGAGGTGCTCAGGGCTTAACTCCTGGTTCAGCTCTTAACCACTCCTGAAAGGGGACCATATGGGGTGACAGGAACCAAAGCCCGGATCTACCATGTACAAGGCAAGTTCCCTACCTCTGTACTGCCTCTTTAGCCCCCCCTCTTTTTGGGTTTGGTTAGACCCCTGAGAGAAAGCTTATCATAGGTGTTTGGCTATATTACCATACCAGCAGCCTGATGACACAGACCATTGGATTTTGAAAGGACTTGTGTCTGTGCTCATGTGCATGCTGTGTGTGTGCACACACACACCCTTACACACCCTTGCACTTTGTATCTTTACCTATCTACCTTCCTACATTAAAGCAACACTACTTTTCATGCTTCTAGTATAGTGACATATCCCTGCTTTCTACTTACACTAGTGATTATCGCAAGCTCCAGCCTTACCTTTCAGTGTGATCTGCCTGAACCAGGAGTATTTTGGGTCTTTTGGGAGCTCATTATATAGAATCTAGGACCCACTCCAGACCTGAATCACAATCAGGAATCCTTGCATGGTTCATATGCACCTTACAGTTTGAGAAAGCCCCTCAACAAAAGTGTGGCTCTATAGGTGGTGTGTTGATCCTGCGGGAGACTCTGTTTTTCTTTTCAAGCATGAAGAAGTTCTGAGTCTTCCTTGTCTATGTAAGGAATCAGAGTATTGAGTACTAATCATCGAAAGTGAGTGTTCATTTATCTCGGCCCACTTCCTTAAAAATCTCCAAGAGAAATATAATCTGTTCCTTTTCATTCAATACTCACATTTTATGAATTTAATGTTAAGTTTAATTTTAAAACATTTTCAGTTTTTATAAGCCACTTCAGGCCTCTGGGAATAACAAGTCTCAAAAAGAGCCTAGGAGAAATTTCTACTTTTTGCTTTACAGCATATTCAAGGGTCATTGTACCATCTTGGAAGGATGAAGACAATCCAGGAAACATTGGAAAGGCACTGAGGCACAAAGAAGTTAATGAGCAGAGAAAACATATCCCAAACGGAGCAAAAGCCTGCAGGAGAATTTCTCCTAAAGGCCAGAAAATCTAAGTGTCAAAGTAATAACTACCTATTGTCCACTCCCCTCAGGCTAAGGACCTGATCCTTAATGAGTTACTTTACCAGAAACTGATCTGCTTTCGAAAGGAAAAACGGACCAGGGAGGCATAGTTTTTCTTTCCCTAAAATTCTTAGGCTTAAGTATGGGACATCAGGCCCGCCCGCCTGGTCTGTCCAGCCTGCCCAGCCCAGGGCCGCACGGTACTTTCAGCGCCTTGCTGGGGGTCATAGCTGGTACCCTCTGCGACTGGGGCGCCCAGTCTAGCTCCGAGGTGCAGCTCTCTCTGGCTCAGCGCGGACCGCTTAGCCCACCAAGGCAGAGCTCTAAATACGCGCCCGCTGAGGCGTAGGTCCAATCACCCGAGGACCCACCTAGTGTTCCCTGCGCAGTTTTTCATTAGGAGTTGCCTGGCCCTAGGAGGGCAGACGCGACCTCTCAAGGCATCGGCTCCCCTGGGCAGAGGTGCCAGGCCCAACCTCGACGCTGGTAGGGTATGCCCCTGGGGTCTGTGCCAGACATGGCTCACCCAGCGCTCCCTGTCTCCCGAGCCGCGGCTACCTCTCGGGCTCGCCAGGGTGCCAGGAAGACTTCGTGTGCCGCCCCGAGACCTTATACAAGTCAGAGCCGGGTCGTTGGCCTGGGTCGGAGCGAGCGGCACCGACATTGGGTGTGTGTGAGGGTGGCCTTTCCCCACGGCCGCCACAGCAGTGTCCCCGAGCTGAGTCCGCCTGCCTGTCCGCCGGCTGGCTCTCGCGCTGCGCTCTCTCTCCTTCCCGCGCCCCGCTCCGCGTTCCAGGGAAGCCGCAGGAGGGCAGGCTGGCGTTTGTCGGGCCATGAGAAGCAATTTAGAATGGATAAAGCCTTTAAGGTTCGTGGTCTTCTAATCTAGTCTGAGGGCTTCTCTCTCGAGTCAGTATAGGGAGATCTCTTTTCCTGCGCCTGGGGTCGCTTTGGACCTCGTGCTACTTATTTGTGCCAACATCCTTCAATTGATTTTTTTTCCTGTTCCCCCTTAGAATTTCCCTCTTTTTAAAATTACTGGCATGGATTCTTTTTCACCTCTCCAGATTATATAGAACACACACACACACACACACACATAAACACACACACACACACACACACACACACACACACACACACACACACCCCATACACGAAAGTCTTAAGTAGAGATTACTGCGTTGACACCACTTCCACTCTGTCTCCCGAGATCACTGCATTTCACTAACCCAATGTGCCTGAGGACTCAGTCCTCTCTTCCTGGGGAGGCTTTTTGAACCTGTCGCCAAGCCAGTACCTCAGAGAGAAGGAAGTGCAGTGGGATGCTAGGATGCACAGCGCCTACCCCAGTTAGATGCTCTTCTGATAATCTGCAGCCAGGCTCACTGATAAAATATTTAGTAAAGACCTAGTAACCCTCACTGGAAATACATTAAGGCACTCTAGCCTGACAACTTATGATTATTTCAAAACTTAAAAAGGAGATCATAGATTGTCACTGTTTCTGTGCTCAACCAAGAAACCGAACCTTGCTGAGGTGGGTGGATGGGTGGGTGAGTTACTGTGTTTTGCCCCCATATGCCTTTCCACCCATTCACTTTCATGCTGTGACTCTCAGCCTCAGTAATTTGTTTATTTATGTGGTCTAAAAGGTGTGCATTTTTTTTCTGGTGGGAGTGGGAGGGGGGTTGTGGAGGACACGCAGGACCTGTTCACAAAGGACTGGCTCAGGTGTTGTGTTTTTCTGTATTAACTGGAAAAGACAGACTCTGGAACTTTTACAGGGCGAGAAGAGGCCACCGGCTCGCGCTTTGTATACTTTGCACTTGAAATCGTTACATTCAACTGAATATTTGGCTCATTCAGATCCGAAAAGTCTCCTAGCATCATTGAATTCCCTCCTCCGCCCCTCAGCTCCAAAGGAGGGAGGTGGGGGGTGGGGGGGAAGGTAGGAAAATGTTTAGTAAATTGCACATCTTTGAATCTTCCTAAAGCAGTGGTCACAAAGCTTAAAGGTGACACAACAGTGCTCACGTAAAACCAACACACATTCCCCATCCCCCAAGCCAACAATAAAATCATCCCCTTCAATTTGCCATGATCATCGCGACCAGGAGCCAGGTGATTATCCTAATTAATGTCTATCTAATTAAATTACTGTCAGCAGTTAACCAATGGCAGGAGCCGTTTCATCGGCTGCACAAGCAGCGAGATCAAAAGTGAGCCTTTTCTGATTGCTGCATAGTGTCAATTGGCCAATCTCTTCTCCCAGGGAAAAAAAAAAGTAAATCAAACCTTTGAGAAGCATTTGCTGGTTGAAGTGCTTTCTGTCTAGTGAGGGGGTCTGTGGATTTCTAGTTTATGATAAATAGGACTTTAAAAACCAGGGACAGGAGGGCGAGTGTTCAGGTTCTAGAGCTATGCAGCTGGAGCACTGCCTTTCTCCTTCTATCATGCTCTCCAAGAAATTTCTCAATGTGAGCAGCAGCTACCCACATTCAGGCGGATCTGAGCTTGTCTTGCACGATCATCCCATTATCTCGACCACTGACAACCTGGAGAGAAGTTCACCTTTGAAAAAAATTACCAGGGGGATGACGAATCAGTCAGATACAGACAATTTTCCTGACTCCAAGGACTCACCAGGGGACGTCCAGAGAAGTAAACTCTCTCCTGTCTTGGACGGGGTCTCTGAGCTTCGTCACAGTTTCGATGGCTCTGCTGCAGATCGCTACCTCCTCTCTCAGTCCAGCCAGCCACAGTCTGCGGCCACTGCTCCCAGTGCCATGTTCCCGTACCCCGGCCAGCACGGACCGGCGCACCCCGCCTTCTCCATCGGCAGCCCCAGCCGCTACATGGCTCACCACCCGGTCATCACCAACGGAGCCTACAACAGCCTGCTGTCCAACTCCTCACCGCAGGGCTACCCCGCGGCCGGCTACCCTTACCCACAGCAGTACGGCCACTCCTACCAAGGAGCCCCGTTCTACCAGTTCTCCTCCACACAACCCGGGCTAGTGCCCGGCAAAGCGCAGGTGTACCTGTGCAACAGGCCCCTTTGGCTGAAATTTCACCGGCACCAAACGGAGATGATCATCACCAAACAGGGAAGGTAATGCTACAGTCTGGGATGCCGCGGCTCCAGGCGCAACCCGGGGACTAATGCACTCGGGTTGTGACCGCGGCGGCGGCGGCGGCGGCGGCGGCGAGGATTTGGGGTCGGGAATGGAGTGGAAGATGTTCTGGGGCGTTCCGAAGTGAGCTGGTTTTGGGGGAAAAGGGGGATGTGAAAGGTCTAACTGCCGTGGTGCTGTTGAGGCTGGGGGAACCCCGCTCTATAAATGTGGTCAGAGAACCGGGCAGTAGCCAGAGGAAGGCAAGACAGGGAGCGAGAGGGAGAGAGCGAGAGAGGGGAGCATCGGCGGCCGGAGATGGGAGGGACGCATCACGCCCGCTGCACGGACAGGTGCAGATGCGGGTCGCCGACCTCGCTCTCCACCTGGGCAGTAATTCCTGCCGACTGCCCACTCGAGCTCACCCGCCGATCTCCCCGACTTCAGTCCTACTTTGCCTCTTTACCACCCCTTTTCAAAACCAGCGAACATTCGCTCATCGACGCTACCGAGAACAAGTTTTGCTTTGCTATCTGGCGCCGCGCTTCTTGTATTTAATCTTTAACATTTATGTTTTTTCCCCCTTGTTTTCTCCCCCACCCCTTTAATTTAAATAGGCGCATGTTTCCTTTTTTAAGTTTTAACATTTCTGGTCTCGATCCCACGGCTCATTACAATATTTTTGTGGATGTGATTTTGGCGGATCCCAATCACTGGAGGTTTCAAGGAGGCAAATGGGTTCCTTGCGGCAAAGCGGACACCAATGTGCAAGGCAAGTCCTTCCAATTAACACGTTTCCCTGACACTTATTTAGGTGAGAATGATTAATTAAAGCCTTTGTGGACTGGCTCGAGCGACTTTTAAAACGGCCAATGACTTCTAAAAGGAAACGAGGGGGATAGGGGAACAGACTGAGCTGCGAGAAGGGGGAGGATTATGCAAAAGCTATTTTAATCATCTCTAGTTAATAGGAAGAATGTGCGGCCTAAAAAGGCCCCAGTTAATGGGCTTCACAGTGGAACAAGGGGTGCTGTGGTGTGTGCGTGTGTGTGTTTGCGTGTGTGTGCGCGCACTCGTGTGTGTGTGTGTGTGTGTGTGCGCGCGCGCTGTGTGGTGAGGAGTTGGGACTGGGCAGTGCCCCGGGCATATGTAAACGGCCTATTTCTTTCTCTAGGAAACCGGGTATATATGCATCCGGATTCCCCCAACACTGGGGCTCATTGGATGCGTCAAGAAATCTCTTTTGGAAAATTAAAACTTACAAACAACAAAGGAGCTTCAAACAACAATGGGCAGGTCAGTGGCTCAAGCGCTCATTTCTCAATCTCTCACTCTCTCAGCCACCCCCCTACACACACACACACACACACACACACACACACACACACACACACACCACTTGCCCCTTCCTAACATCCAGTTCATCCCTTTAAATCAGCATGAGAAACGGCATACATGTTTCTTTGCTTCATGAAAAACATTTAAAATTCTCTATTTTCTCTCTTGAAAATCATATTAAACAGTGTGTAAAGGTGTTCTCCTTGGACCCCGCCCAACCCCCACCCCCCACACTTCCTGACTGTCCCAACCTTGATTTATTTCAATTAGGAAACCCACAGAATTTGCAGGTGTGAATACCTTTGTTTCTTCTTTAAAACATGCCTAGCACAGGAACTCAAAGAATTGCGCGGTCGTGGGTGCGTTTTTCTCCTGGGCCTGGGCGACCCCTGCTTCTAGAGGAACCAGGGCTGGTTTGCTCAGCGAGTCTGTCACCGGTCGGGTGTTCCCGCGGCCGCTGAGCGAGCTCCGCTCAGTGCTGCCCGCCGCGCGCAGCCCCGCGATGCCCGACCGGGTTAACGCGCCACCCGACGCCCCGTTTTCTCTCCGCCGGACAGATGGTGGTTTTACAGTCCTTGCACAAGTACCAGCCCCGCCTGCATGTGGTGGAAGTGAACGAGGACGGCACGGAAGACACCAGCCAGCCCGGCCGCGTGCAGACGTTCACTTTTCCCGAGACTCAGTTCATCGCCGTCACGGCTTACCAGAACACGGATGTAAGGAAGTCAAGGGCCTGGGCGCGCGGCGGCGGGCGGCAGCGGCTTCTCCCGGCACCCGGAGGGATCCCGCACCGCCCGGGAGTGAGGGGACTAACCGCAGCAACAGCTGGTTCTGCTGCGTCTTTAAGTCCTAGGACTGGGGACCTGATGGGTATCTCCCCTAACCCCCAAGTCAGTGAGAAAATGCTTCTTATTCTCCGTCTCGGGTCCCCTGGACCAACACTGAGGTGCCCAGGTTTCCTAGGTCCACTTAGAATTGGAAATTTTAATTTAGTTCTCAAATTATTTATATCCGATTTAAAAACAGCAGTAACACCGTTTTCTTTAGAAAACAAGATTTTCCCGTGCATTTTATTCTTGGCAAGTTTTGACATTGCCTTAAAATTTGTTTTAGAACTGATAGATAAAATAAACATCACTTGGGGGGGTGATAAAAATGCACAACCCATATATGTGAAACTTACAATAAAACACATTACTGGGAGCTAAGAAAAAAAAGTTCTGCAGCCCTGTGCCTACCTCTTCAGCTTTTGCAAGTTCACAAAAACAATTTAATGATATTTTTTGACTACTAAAATTAATGGTTTTTCTTAAAAAGTCAAACGAAAATATGAGAAATGAATACGTTTTATTGTAATTAGAACTGATTTTTATAGTGTAACTTCTGAGTTAATATTCCAGTTATGAATCAGAAGTGATCAAGCTTCTGAAATATAGTAAAACATTTAAAATAGGTAATAGTGATAATTCAAATTCCCCTTGAAGATTTTTGTCTGGGTTGTGCATTGTGAATAACTGTAATATATAATAATTCTAATTTGTGCATTTGAAGCAAGGTAGAGCACATGGTAAAGTAGCACTTTAGTTTTAGCCATCATTTATGTAAACATGTTCCTCATAACTTTCATGGTACTTCATTCTTTTTCCTTTCCATCCATTCCTTCAAATTTTTCAATTAGGAAAATGTTGCTATTTAATAAAATTGTAGGCCCTTAAATCCCCATATAAAGTTACAGATGATATATTCATAAAATACCCAGCACTCCTGTAAAGAAATTGAGATTATATTAATCTTTTCTTCTTTCCCAGATTACACAACTGAAAATAGATCACAACCCCTTTGCAAAAGGATTTCGGGATAATTATGATACGTAAGTAATTTTGCACCTTTTTTTGCAAAGAGTTGTGGAATTGAGCGATAGGTCAAAGGTGGCTTGTTATGTACAAGACATTATGGAAGCAAGAATTGTGTGAAGGCAGTTGTTTTGGGGATGTTTCCTTTCTTTTTGGATGGTTCCCCTTCTCTGTGATGACCTTCTGATTTGGTATTTCTGTGACTTAGGTCAAATGTTTCCTCCACTTATATTTAGCTTTCTTTTGAATTACAAAGTTGTTGGCGGGCCTCTGTAGCTGGCTGGCTGACTGGGGAAAGTGCCCCGGTTTCCTGGGTGCAGGAGTTGTTACATGTCGCTGCAGATGCTCAGCTCAGATTGTCTATGTCTGAAACCGCCCGATTCTGCCTGAAAGTGCATGTGGCTCTGGCAGTTGTTACAGTCTCCTTGGCAAATGTGACTTTTATTTACCCATTTCCAAGTTTTGTGTAATAGCTTTTCCTTTGCAAGTTTACCATGGACTGAATAACAATGTGCACCCACCACAGGCAAGTTCATGAACAGAGCTGCTGTTACAGTCCTTTTAGGCTTTGGGAAAGACACAGCTGCTGTTGCTAAATATTATTTTATAAGCTTCAGAGAAAAGGTTTTTTTCCTTTAAAAAAGCTGAGGTATATATTTTAATTAAAGTGTTGGTTCCTTTTGCTCCAGGCTAATCTTACCTATCTTTCTTATCTCCATTTCTTTTCAATCATTTGAAGGCAACAATAGGTGTAAACTGAATGCCTTCTGGACATGTCCTAGCATTCTTGCTTAAGGTCCAGGTATAATGTTTAAGAATTCAGATAGTATGATATGGCAAAAATCTAAATCTAGATTGCAGGGATTCCCCACCTCTCTTCTCACCACAAAAAAAGGAGGATGTTTTACTCTCAGAGTTTTCATTAAGTGTCTGACATAGAGCTACAAAGTTGAAGCTCTTTGACCAGAATTTGATTACATTTGTGAAGAGACAAGTGGCCCCTTCTATTCCATCTCCAGGTAGATACCAGCTTCTCCTCCTGATGCTTTTACAACAAAAAGGAAAAAGAGAGACATTGACATTACAGTCTATAGGCATCGTGTGCATACCTTAAAAATAGTTCAAAGGAAGCAAGCTTCATCAATATGATTTTCCAGAATAAGAACTTGGCTTCCCCATTCCTCACAATTTAAAAATGTGGACCCGGCACAGCAAAAAGTGTGTGGCCCAGGAGACCAGAGATATTGGTCTCAATACTAGGGGGTCTTGTAGATTTTGAGCTTTTAATTCTGTTGTGAACATCTGTTCCAAAGCATTTTATTTTGCACAAATTAATTTGGTAATCCCAAGTGGGTTGGGATCTGGATGGGCATCTAAACTGTATCTTTTGCAGACTGCTATTTTTCTTTTTAAAAGATTGTGGTGGTAAACAGAGAAGATATTTGCTCCTTGTTGATTATGTTCCCTTCCTGCTTCCCTCTTCTTTTCTTATTGATACTGGAATTAAATTTCAGGAGGGAAATTTTGTACAGTAAGCAGATGGACCTGAGCAGCTGCAACGTAACCCTCACCTGCCCCTCCTCTGGCTAACTTCCCTAAGAAAAGCAATTCCCTTTGATTCTTAAATCACTGTATATGTGCATAAATAAGCTATAAAAGTACATGTATATAATATAAAAGGCTTTTTTGCATATATAAATTGTACTCTAGGTTTTAGGGCATACATAGAAAAAAGAATGACTTATGGTACCCCCCCTTCCCCCCTTTATTTGGGTTATTTGGGTCTGGCTCACTTTTGGAGAAACAGAGCAATGAGAGTTCAGGGGGACTAGGGAGTTGCTTGGCCACTCACCAGGGAATCTCCTCCCCAAAGGATTAAGGTCTGACAAGACTGAGGCTCTCTTTCAAAACAGTCTGTTGATTAAAGATTGAAACATTATGTGTGAGTTAAATAAAAAGGAAGGCATGTGCTTATGTGTATGAGAAAACACTTCTACCAATCTTGATCCAGCTCTGATTTCCTCTCAAATCTAATGGGATTTTTCTAGGCCTAGGGCCTGGAGTTACTCTTTGATTATTTTAGTAGAGGTAATTCTTGATAACACAAGTACTGTCTGTGATAAGGCTTCTTGAACTTCTCTTTGCCTCAATTATTTCATCTGTAAAGTGGGATAATAACGCTTCCTACTTTGGAGGCTTATTGAAATGGTTTAATAAATTACTGTGAGTTCAGTTCAGTCCCAGGCAATAGTGCTTGCCTGGCACATAGTCAACTTATTTAAAGGTTAGTTAATGAGATTGCTTGGAAGATATTAATGTCTTGAGTGTCATCATTTGTCCCAAAGGCTCTTTTTGTTTGCTTGTCTGAGTGTATTTTATCTGTAAAGCATCAGATCAGAAGCTGGGTAGAGGTGCAAGAAACACTTTCTTCTTTGTAAAAGAATTTTCTTGATTGATGACTTTGTTTCCAACTAGTAGTTCTTGTATGTATCCTGAATGGAAGTGAGTTCAAGGCTCACATTGAGAATCAATAGACAAAGACTGTGGGGGCAACCTGCAGTAACCCTAGGGTCTCAGAAGAGGTAGGGGCCACCTTTGATCATGATTACCTGGATGGCCAGCCTGTGTTTATCTGTGGCAGGAAGCGATCTGAAAAACAAGAGAGGAGCAGGGGAGTGGGTATCTTGTTTAGAATTTTTGCTTAGAAACTCTCATCAGAGGACAGGCCCAGTGGGCAAACACCACCTTGGTCCCTGGGCAAATCACAGCACACCTTAATGCATATGCATATACTGGAGGTGTGGGATGAGAATTCCCTGCTGTACTCTTGTCCTGCCGAGAGAGGAGAGAGAGAGAGAGAGAGAGAGAGAGAGAGAGAGAGAGAGAGAGAGAGAGAGAGAGAGAGAGAGAGAAGAGAAAGAGAGAAAGAGAGGTCTTCTTGATGTGTACAATGACCAGACACATTCAAACATTCAGATTGTCCCTTTCCATTTTCACAATTTGGGGTCAACTTCAAAAACTGTGACCTTTTGTCTGCCTCCATCCTGGACGGCACGTAGCAGGTGGAGAGCGCAGGGGTGGGCGACAAGTGGAGGTGGCCTTCTTTTCTGCGCCCCCCACCCCACCCCACCCCACCCCTTTTCCAAGGACCTCCGCGCCACCCCTCGGTTCTCTCTCTGTCCTTCCCTCGCAGGATCTACACCGGCTGCGACATGGACCGTTTGACCCCTTCGCCTAACGACTCCCCGCGCTCGCAGATCGTGCCCGGGGCCCGCTACGCTATGGCCGGCTCTTTTCTGCAGGACCAGTTCGTCAGCAATTACGCCAAGGCCCGCTTCCACCCGGGCGCGGGCGCGGGCCCCGGGCCGGGCACGGACCGCAGCGTGCCGCACACCAACGGGCTGCTGTCTCCGCAGCAGGCCGAGGACCCGGGCGCGCCGTCGCCGCAGCGCTGGTTTGTGACGCCGGCCAACAACCGGCTGGACTTCGCCGCCTCGGCCTACGACACGGCCACAGACTTCGCGGGCAACGCGGCCACGCTGCTGTCGTACGCGGCGGCGGGCGTGAAGGCGCTGCCGCTGCAGGCCGCCGGCTGCACGGGCCGTCCTCTGGGCTACTACGCCGACCCGTCGGGCTGGGGCGCGCGCAGCCCCCCGCAGTACTGCGGCGCCAAGTCGGGCTCGGTGCTGCCCTGCTGGCCCAACAGCGCCGCGGCCGCCGCGCGCATGGCCGGGGCCAACCCCTACCTGGGCGAGGAGGCCGAAGGCCTGGCCGCCGAGCGCTCGCCCTTGCCGCCCGGCGCCGCCGAGGACGCCAAGCCCAAGGACCTGTCCGACTCCAGCTGGATCGAGACGCCCTCGTCCATCAAGTCCATCGACTCGAGCGACTCGGGAATTTACGAGCAGGCCAAGAGGAGGCGGATCTCGCCCGCCGACACGCCTGTGTCCGAGAGCTCGTCCCCGCTCAAGAGCGAGGTGCTGGCCCAGCGGGACTGCGAGAAGAACTGCGCCAAGGACATAGGCGGCTACTACGGCTTCTACTCGCACAGCTAGGCCGGCCCGGGCCTCCCCGGCCCCGCGCCCCACCGCGCCCGGGACCCCCAGCCAGCCCCAGCTCCTCCTCCCCACACCCCGCCTTGCGCAACCCCCCTACATTTGATCTGACCCTCGATTACCGTCTGCAGCGACCAAGGACAAGGTCTCCAAGTGTGATCTTAACTTTTTTTTTTTTTTTTTTTTTGCACAGCAGTTTCTGCAGTTAGCGCACCGACCTCCAACCTTTTTGGTTTTCCTACTGCTCACTCTCCTTCAGTGACGTTAACACTCCTAAACTCTCTCCTTCCCCCTTTTCTCTCACCCTACCGTCCTCCTCCTCCTTCTCTCTCTCTCTCTCTCTCTCTCTCTCTCTCTCTCTCTCTCTCTCTCTCTCTCTCTCTCTCTCTCTCTCTCTCCCCTCTCCCCTCTCCCCTCTTTTCCTCCCCCCCCTCTCTCTAATGAAAACTCTTCCCCTTTAGGAGACCTGAGCAGTCTGGTCAGGCCGCAGAGATCCCGACCCGCCAAGCCTCGGCCTCCCCATTAACCATAGGATGTTGACTCTAGAACCTGGACCCACCCAGCGCGTCCTTTCTTATCCCCGAGTGGATGGATGGATGGATGGTAGGGATGTTAATAATCTTAGTGGAACAAAGCCTGTGAAATGATTGTATATAGTGTTAATTTACTGTAATGAATGGCTAGTTTTTATTCTCATCGTCAAGGCACAAAACCAGTTCATGCTTAACCTTTTCATTCATTTCTCTTCTTATTTCTCTTTGCCTTTTCCTCGCCCCCCACTCCTCGAAAATTTCCTTGTGAGATAATTAACATTCGAAGAGGCTCTGAAAACGTGAAATACTTGATAGATAATGATGGGTTTCTCACTTCACAATCCGTTGCATGAAATAATTACTCTGTGCCCTAATGTGCACAAATAGCTAAGGAGAATCCGACCAAACACCTGTAAAAGATAGGTGTCTCTTCATAGGCAAGCCGATTAGTGGCATGATGCCTGCAAAGCCAAGTTAACTAGAGTTGTATGTCCCTCTCACCTCCCCCTCCTTCTGAATAGAATAGCTCGACATCAGCAATATTATTTTGCCTTATTTGTTTTTCCCCAAAGTGCCAAATTCATTACTGGTCTGTGCAGGTGCCAAATATGCTGACAAACTGTTTCTGAATATCTTTTCAGTCCCCCCCCTTCTACTTTATATGCTGTAAATCTTTGTAATGAATATTCTACTAATGATATAGATGACTGAATTGTTGGTAACTATAGTGTAGTCTAGTGAAGATGAATTGTGTGAGTTGTATATTTTACTGCATTTTAGTTTTGAAAATGATTTCCCTGCCACCTAGAAACAGCTGAAATTTGACTTCCTTGGGAAAACACTTAGCATTAATGCAAGTAAGACTGGTTATTTTCCCATTCTAAGTCTTGTTATATTTGATAAGAAGCATTCAACCCCCTGGAAATAGATTAGTAGGATTTCTAATGTTGTGTAGCAAACCTATAATTTTTTTGTATTTAAAAATTAATGTGAAATATGCATCATACACAATATTCAATCTAGAATCCAATCCATGGGGGGATTTTTTCCTAATAGGAATTCAGGGTCTAAACGTGTGTATATTTTGGCTCTTCTGTAAATCTACTGTTGTGATTTTTATATTTGTTTTGTTTTGTCTGTGAACTGAATAATTTATACAAGTACACACTCCATTGAGAAACGTTTTGTTTTTTGCTCGTTTGTATTGTCTGTGTATAACAAGTAAAATAAATCTGGTAAAACACTATGGTGTTTGAAAGCAGTTTACAGTTTGAAACTAATTTATTATAGGTGACTTTTGAGGATTAAGGAAGAATAGTGGGTTTCCACTGCAGTATAGGGTAGTCTGTTTAATGGAACTTCCTCACATTTTCTTCTTAAGTTTGTTTGAAAGAACTATCACTGGTTACGTTTTCCTTGTGATTTACAATTACTTAGTTCCCTAAGAGTTGTTTCACTTTGTTGTGCTCTCTCTCTTTTACCTTCAAGAAAATATATGCACTTCCCCATCTTTTCTCTCTGATTCTCTCGGTTAGAAATAATGTGAGCAGATACGGAGTCTTTAATAAGTTAGGGATTTCTTTCAATTTCAGAAAGCAAGGCAGAAGGCTTTGGGCAAGAGTCGGCGTCATTTAAATGCATGTCAAAATAGGCTGTTGACCGCAGCTTTAGGCAGATGTCGAAAAATCCGGTCTTTAAATACAAGGCCTTGGAGGCGAGTGGCGAATCTGTCAATGCAAACACAGAATGGCCTACATTTTTGGTGTTGATGGTTTGGGTTTGCGGGTGGGGGGCTGGGGGTGGGGCGCAGTTGAAGTGGGGGAAGGATTCATAGAACAAACTCGTGAACGGTCCGTTTTTAGCCACGGAACTTGAAACTTGCTTTGGGGAGTACGTGGGGGAGGGGGACTCTCTCCCTTCTAAATGGAATACCAATGCCGTTCTGGCCAAGTGAGATTCCTCTTCCTTGAGAACAAATGCAGACCTGCAAACGTTTCAGCTGGTGACTGCAACTTGGTCAAGGAGTGATCAGAGCTCTGACTTTATCTCCTGGAGACGCGCTCCCCCCCCCCCCCCCCCACTTTAGTCTCCAGACAGAGGAGATCCAGGAAAGAGGTGGCAAATAGCTCAACATCCTTGCAGAGTCTGGGCCAGCCCAAGGTTACGGGACCCAATTTACTATCATCCATCCTGTGTCCCTTTAGGAATCTGACATGCAAAGAAGCTTCAAAGTTTCAATTAAACAAAAATTAGGCGGGGGCGGGGGGCTGCACGAATTCATTCGCCTAGCTTGGACAATCTCGCCACTAGACGGCGTTCCGCGGAGTCTCGTCTGCCACCTAGAAAAGCGATGGCTGATTTTCCTTTGTGTTTCTTTCTCCCTCCCCGCACCTAAGAACCAAAAAAGAGCACGAAAAAGTACAACACACGGTACTTGTAGCGCGAGGGAGGTCGAACAAGTGCATTCTTACAACTCCCCCTCTCCCCCATCCTTGGGTCCTGAGCCCCCTGCGGCCTGGCTTGCCCAGGGCCGCAGTGGAGCCGGCGCACGTGCGGCCGGAGGGCTCCGGGATGCGCGAGCCACGGGTCCCCCCGGCACCCCCCCCCAGCCCCCAGCCTCGAGGCCCCGGGGGTGCGGGCCTCGCCCACCCGAGCGCGCCCCGCACGGCCCCGCAGTCTTCCCGCCAGAGTCCCCGCGAGGACAAGGAGTCGATGTCCTGGGCGGAACCGGGGCTTTGCGAAGCGGAGCACTGATTTCACAGGAACTCGGTGCCTTCCACCGAAAGACGCACGTTAGCTGCTATTAGGGAGTACTTGAAAAAAAGTGGGGAGGTCGGCTCCCCGGCAGTTCCGCCACCATCTGCTGTGTGGACTGAGTCAGCGTGAGGTAAATTTGCAGCTCCAGCTCCGCACTCCCCTCGGAGGCCCGTGTGCTTTGCCGTCCCTCGCGGGCGTGAGCGTTCCTCCTCGCTTCTAAGGAGTCTTGGGTGTCTGTAGACTCGACACCAGGCGCTGTGGGTCTCGGCGGCTGCTGCCAGTTCCCAGGAAACCCGAGTGGGGGTTCGGGAGGGCCCGTGGGAAACCCAGGTCCGCGGCCGGGGGTAGATTTCGAGGGGCTCTGTCAAAATCGTCTCATCGGAAGGTCGGGGCTAAGGACGGGGGGAGGAAGAGGCACCGTCCCGGCCACTTGCAGATTTCCGCTCGTGTTCAACTGTGTCTCTTCACCCGCGTGTGCTCCACGCGAGAAAGGAAGGGGAAAAGGAGGGCGAGCGTTGGGATGGGCCTGGATTAGGGCTCAGGCCCGCCCGCGCCTCACCCCCTGCGCCATCTTGACGCACTTGCCCACCACCCGGCCCGGGGCTGAGCGAGGCGGCGGCCGGCGGGCCCCGCTCGCGATGCTTAACCCGGGAGGCGGCGGCGGCCCCGGCGGCAGCGGCGGCCTCGGGTCTCTGCAGACCGGAGGCGGTTGCAGGACGCACGGCGGTCGAGGGCTGCGGCCCCGGGGGACGGGTGGTGCTGCCCGGCCAGGCGAGGCCGCGGCTTAGCCAGGGCCTCAGGTCGCCCGGGGCGCCGCGGGACTGGGCGTTCGCGCGGGGCAGTTCCCTGAGGCCCGAGCAGAGCCCGAGCCGCCCTCGCTTCGCCGTGCGGCGGGCGGCTGGGGCCTGCTATTTCGGGCTCCGGATCCAGGCCAGGACACAGGCCGTGGGTGTAGACGGGGAGTCCAGGCCTAAATCCCGGCTCCGAGTCCCGACCGTGCTCTGAATCCCTCGTTCCCGTCGCCCCAAACTGGTGGATGGGGGAGGGGGTAGCCCCGGGCCTTGGCTGTAAGGGAGGGGAAGGCGTCGGGGACCTTCCCGCGCTTAGCACCCGGCCGGGTCACCTCACCCGGCGACCGACGGGGCTTTAGGACGTGGAAGGCTCTTTTCTGCCCAACAGAAACGGACTGAATTGCACCGTTTCCGTTCGGTTGAAACAGTGTTTCAAAAATAACAGTTTCTGCGCCTCTTTCTAGGTCTTCCCGCACCGAGCGGAGCTAGCATTCACGGTGTAACCGTCTGTAGGGAAGCTGACCCTCTTTACCTCCTGCAGTTAGACCCTCTCTTAAATCCCAGTTCCTAAGCACTTGGTGACCCACTTTTTTGTTGTTGTTGTTGAGGATGCGAAGTATTTTATCATTTACTGCACTGAAGCGTTCAGATGTTCTACCTCCTGTTTAAGGGTGCAGGCTAGAAACAAAAGCCTTGTTGACTAGAGGGCATTTATATCCCTGGAGAATTTAAAACGCTCAAATAATGGTGTTTGGACGACGTATTGGTGCTCACAAGTGACTTTATAAATAGTTAGGCCTGTCCTTAGGTTCAACATAAAAAAAAAAGTGAAGTGTATGGTTTAATGATTTTAACTGCGGAGATAGGAACGAAAAGCTAGACTTAAGATATTATGTTCAGATAGGATCAACTTTTAGACAAACCAAATTTTAGACATCCCCCCACCACCCTCGCCACCCCTAGTCAATAGTTACTAATTTTTGATAAGTTTAGGAAGAAGCCAGCAACTTTGAAGACAAGTTTGGGCTTCCATTTAAAAGATATTTTAATGTACTCAGTGTGTTGGGAATTGCTTGACTCATTTTAATAGTCAAACGGCTAAATTTTTAGCTTCTATCAGTAAAATCGGTGTTCGTAAAGATAGCTGAGACTTAAAGCAAGT